CTCTCTCACTCGCGGCTAGTGTGCTACTCCAGCTGGGGACGGAGTGGGATTTGAAATAAAGCGCCCCGAGTTTGAAATGTGAAAGACTACTGATTGCAGAGAAGCAATGAAATAAATAAAGTAAACGATCAAACATTTAACACGTGCGCTATCAAAATACACAGCACAAGTGGAAAAATCGCGTATTCGCCAGAGACTCTATTTCAAGATTTTATCTTTTAAATTAATGCGTGTTTAAAATGCAGGCTCACGTATCGGCTCTCTAACACACAAATTATCTGGCGGTTGTGGGGCCCATTGTAGGTGGCTGGCTGATATTATCCGGACTCGATAGAGTATGGTGAAAAATCAGCGCTTGATTAAACTAAATATTTGCCAGTCGTTTCGGGAAAAAACCCGATTATCTTGTAGCTGACTCGGGGGATGAATAATGGAATGGAAACGAATTACTCCCCAACGTTTTGCACGCACGAGTAGCTTGAATCTTCAGGGCTGGATGCTTTCTTTAGTGTTGCTGAGCGAATTTAATTAGTTTGGATTATATGGTCCACTAAAGGAAATTAGCCCAGAGCAAGCAAACCGTGACAAGGCCCAATTTAACATCCGCCATGCTCCTTTAATAAGACGCCTCGTAAACCGATAATGTTATTATAGAAACCGCCATAAAACTGCCTTTTATAGGTAAAAAATAAGCAGCCTGAAGCGGTTTATCACCTGTATAAATCAAATCTCCCCAGCCTCGTCGCTTTTGGAACAGGGGGACCGAGAGGGCCGGTATCTGCCTCCCTTCTACACGCTCTCCACACTCCATTTCGGCTGAAATGCTTCCAATTTTCGGTAACTACTTTGCCGTTATGTTTTCGACATTACTTTTATTTCCTTTTAACTAGCTGGTTTTTCCGTTGCCGATTTATTTTAGGTCCAGTGTGTGGTTTCAATTGGTTGCGATCGAGGACGATTTGGGGGGAATTGAGTCCCTAAAACTCGCTCTTTCCCGCAGAAAACCAAAGACATTGGTGGAAAACCTACACACTTTTCGGCCATGTTTTGCAAATTGAATCTAAGACAAAATGCGGTAGCTTTCAGCCTTCAAGACGCTCGAATAAGCAACTGCTTAGATTGCGGCCATTCATCAAAATAAGCATATTTAAAGTGAACACGATCGTTTGCGCCCAAAATCCCACCTACAGGATTCGATTTGCTTAAAAGGATTTGCCGAATACGGGAACAGAGCGGAAACGGCTTCGGGAGGAACATTGTTCGATTTGTAAGACGCCATATAAATCCTGCTCATTAGTCCGGAAATAAAATACTTCGTATGATAAATGGGCTCGAGATCGGCAATTTTTTGAACAAAACTTCTCCTCTGCAGTCAAAGTTCTGGGGCCACCGGGCAGCCACCTACAAAAATGCCAGGATTTCCCATTAAAAATCCCCTCGGCAGGAATTTGATAGTTTAATTACACGAGCGTGGCTCGTCCTCCCGTTTCAGATTTATCGACTCCGTAATTGTTCATGGAATATTAAGGACGAACTTGCTAGATTTTCGACGGTTATTGAATTAATCTTATTAGCTTTTGCAGAGACTTCTCTGACTTTCGCCCGCTGGAATTTAATTGAAAACCCCCTAATTGAAACTGAAGGGTTCGATGACTCCCAAACTGATGCTTCCCCGTCGATTTTCGTTGTTTCAGCGAAAAAACAGACCACTTTTCCCCAAACAACTGCTCGAAATGCTCTGGGAGTGTTTTGGTTGTCCACAAGCTCTTATCATATCTCCGTCCAGTAGTGAAAATACACAGGGCTAGAGAATGAGAGCCTGTTTTTCTGCGACGTCCATATTTTCCTGCAAACATCGCTTTGCCGACATCTGAAGCCACTGGAGCCGGTTTATCTTCAAACGAAAGAAGTAATTGAATTGATTCCGGTTTCGTTATCACAAAGTTATTGTCGATGGCCTTCCTACAAGCCCTTATCAGTTCTCCGTCCAGTCGATAGAATACACAAGGCGAGAGAATGACAAGGGCTTGGAAGAAATTGAGCTCTTGAAGTCGGCAGCAGTTCGGCTTGCGGCAGGCTTCTGGAACAAAGAAAACGCCTTTAATTAGATTCATGTTTTGGCCATTTGATTGGC